CATGTCAAAAAAATAAACACTAAAAGCCTCATATCTTTAAAAAATTTAATTATACACCATTTATTTCTAGATACAATTATAGAAATAACAGAACTAAACCCATTTTATTCTTACAATGATAGATTCGCTTAAATAGGGGCTTTTACATAAAATAGCCTATTCCGTCATCATCTTTTCAGTCAGCTCTTCACTCTCGTGATTAATGAAATTTGACTCCTGTTGCTGATATTTGCTGCAACTTTCGTTCCGCTCACAATTTAGTAAGCAAACACGCTTCAAATGTGTTTTTATTTTATTTTTGTGTATATGTGTGTGTATATATATGTGTGTATATATATATATATATATATATATATATATATATATATAGCTTATGTTTCAAATATGAGTTAATTAACAATCGTTGGAAAGAATGATACTTTTAATATCACTAAACCGTCATTAGGTGTCGCCAGGCGACCGTCTTAATGAGCGAGTCATTGATTCATTCGTTCAAACGATTCGTTCGAACGGCTGAGTCATTCATGAATGAGACAGATTATGGATTGGTCGTTGAATCTTTGAGTCAACCGATTCGTTCAAAATGCTGAATCATTCAGTAATGAGAACGCGTTGCTGTGAGATGCTCGATTGTTCTGCTGTGATCTTTGTTTAACTATTTTCGCTGCTGAAACAGAAAAAAAAGTCAATATTGCATCTAAAATGTAAGTGATTTGACGTGTGTGTGTGTGTGTGTGTGTGTGTGTGTGTGTGTGATTGTGTCTGTTACAGTGATTGTTTAACCCTTGTTAAAGTTTAGGCCTTGTCTTTTTGGATATATATCTTTTTATATAAAAAAAAATAGCATACAACCCATGTATTTTAAATGTATTGTTTGCTTTAAATTACATTGAGATTTGTATGTTTGGTAATTGAACCTGAATGAATTATAAATGAATGTGCTATATTTCAGATCATATATTTGTTTTCCTTAAAATTTGAACTAACACTAACTTTATTCTCATCTGAATGATAGATTATTTATTTCTGTATAAAATAAAAACACATTTGATTTTTCTTTTTTAATCAATGTAGAATGTGTAACTGAAAAAATAAACAGATTAGGGCTCTGATCGAGGACAATAATGTCAAAAAAAGAATCAGGGCATGTCTCATATCTTTCTAAAATGTAATTATACACCATTTATTTTTATATAAAATTATACAAATATTAGAACTAAACCCATTTTATTCCTTTTTTTCAATTTAAGAATTATTTTTAAGTTTAAAAACAGCCAGAATGGTTGTTTAGTCAAAAATAATAATAATCCAAATCATATATAGTGCTATACTGCCCTCTTGTGTTCAAAATCAGGTAGGCCTATTGAATTTATATATTTATATATTAGGGATGTTACTATGGGAATATTTTCCCACCGGTTAATCAACGTGTGATTGTGTAAACCAATTGTGTAAACCTCCCGCTGGGGGGTTTAAAAACACTAACTTGAAAGCGAAAGTATAATATGGACGTCCGCACGGACATTGAAATGGTGGCGCTCGAATGAATTCCTATGGAAGTAGAAATTAACTAAACGTTCGCTCTGTTCTGCTCGCTCGTCGCCATGGACGCGCACCGTTATGAATGCCAGTGCAGCCGCATACTTTTTAGTGTCACTAAAATTAGTGCAATTTCGGGGGCCGATTGCTTGAATTGTGAGTTCAATA